AGATTTATTAGTAAAATATTATCAGATAAAATAAATGTTTATGTACAATATAATTGAAAATTATATGTCTAAAATTAGTTTAATGTATTTTTCAGGGTTTAGGCATGCATTTTCATCCAAATTGTGATTGCTTGTGACTTTACAATATATTCTTCTAGGTCTGAACACCTTCTATGTCTCTCCTATGTTGTCATGATGAAAAAAAACCAACTACCAGACAAAAGCCGAACTCCACAGGATCTCAGCAAATCACTTAGCCAACGCAAAGATCAATTAAGCACTTAGTCGTACACTATAGTCTCCAGCGCCAAATCACAGATATTATTCAAATATATGAACAGTAATCAAAATTAACATTTGTTTCTTCCTATGCAGTTGCTATTGCAATAATATGGCATCTGAACAAAGCAGCAGCTTCCTCGTTTAAGCACTTCTACTTTACTTACTCAACTCAGTAATACCCAGAGAGTTTGTATTATGACTCAAGTGAAAGCAAGTCTTTTTCATTCAAAGATCTTAGTTCTCACATTTCAGAGGAAATGTTTTTTTTTCTTCCTGGGCTCAGGAAAAAAGGGTAGCTTCTTCCCACTTCTGTCCACAGAAAATACTATAGCCAGGCCAAACTGTAAGAAAATCTAAGGCTTTAGGTTTTCCACAGTTCTTTGTGTATGCGAATACATAAGGACAGCAGAAGACCTGCAGGAACTGCAGCGTGTAGCTAGGTAGTTTTTCAAATAGTCTATACACCTTTCTAAAGAACAGATAACATAATCCAAACTCTTTGTTGCATATGATTAACACTCTTCAGAAAATTGATATCAAAGTGTATGTACAATAAAAAATACCTAATTTTCATAAAATGTCTGTATAAATACATCTCCTTGACACACTCCTCACAGTGATTTCTGCCTGTAAATTAAACGTTTTAACTGTGCAGTTGTCAGAACTTTGGGTTTATCTTCATATTTCTGTTAGAAACCTTCCTTTGCAAAAGAAAGTTTCAGGTAAGAATACTTATACAGAGCACCCTGGATTCACACCAATAAAACTATTAAAATTCTGATGTACATATTTGAAAATCATTTTGTATTTTCAAACGGGGATTGATAAACTGCACAGTTCTCATTCCAGTCGTCCTTGCTTAGCATCACCTATTGCTCCCCATACATCAAAGACAAACTCATCTGGAAATGCAAAGTCACCCAGAGTTTCATCCAATGCTACTGCAAATTCATCCGGGTTTTTCTTGTCTCTTCCAGCTTCCACCATTGTTGCAGCTAAAAAGCAACAAAACCAAAAAAAGTCATTATCATTAAAGTGACAGCTAATATATACAGTTAGTTTTTCAACATCTATTTTCAAATCTGGGTAAGGTCAGCTTAAGGAGATGTAAAGCTTACCTACTGAATTCGGGATTCAGTAGCATTATGTACTTAAATGCCCCCCTCACTAGCTACATTCTGCTCTGATAAACAGGAGAGCTTCTCTGGAGTGCTCGTTATATATTCTTCCGTCTGTTTGGCAGAGGTTTGACTTTTAATTCAATGAATCTTCGTTTTAATCTTATTAAATTATATTCTGTATTCATTACTGAAGGCACATGAAGCATAGGTCTAAAAACAAGGTTAAGCACAACTCTTCTGCCATAACAAGACTATGCCAGTTCATTGCCAGCTTCAGTGAGTTTGATATGAGTCCTGCTGATGTAAAGCAGAAGATCAAAAGGCAAACCTGAATGTTTTTCTCCTCTAAACAATGAAGTAAAGATCTCAATAGTTCAGAGTTTAAAGTGGACGGGTTTTTCACAGAAAGCCAAAAAGTACAGGGTTTGAACATGGAAAACAACACACAGCCTGCAGAATAGATACATGCAACCGAGCTAGTATGGGTTTGCTAGTAACCCATGCTTTACAAGTTTAAAGGTTTAAATGTTGAGCATGACCTGCCTTTAGAAAAGAGTAATGATAAATATGCCTGGAGAAAACACTTGAATATCCTACTTTGTGAAACAAGATTTCGAAGACTAGGCTCAACTAGTGTGTTGTGTAAAATACAGAGAAAATTAATATCTGGTTTGTTAGGTATTGGACACAGTATGTTTCATGCTCTCAGGAAATTACCGTTTGACCTCAAACAGATTTGCTTAATTTTTCATCTTAATTTAATTTTAACTAACTTTAGCTTAATTTTTTAACCCAAAGAAAGCCTCCTTCAGGTAGTAAAGAGACTGAGGCATTTATTGCAAGTCACATTATTCTTCTGCTTGAATCTACGTTTTTTTCCATGCCATCCAAACTCAAGAGTAACTAATTTTAGTGCATGAGTTTGCTTCAGTTATTATTACCTCCAGCTCTGAAAAGTAAATCCTTAATTTGTACCACCCTCAAGGCTGGGAAAGTTTGTGCTTATGTCACTAGGAAGTGAAAAAGATCAAAGTTACTCCTGGAAGTCTCAGCCAGGTGGTTTGAATTGTGCAAAAGCAAGGGAAAGACCTTGCTGCTGTGCACAATAAACTGGAGCCACCAAAGACTATGAACATCTTGGTACCCAGGAATGATAAAGCACAGAAGCCCAATACAACGGATGTAGACTGTGATATCTTGTATACCCACGCTGTCTGGCATTTTCTCTTATTTAGCACCCAAGTATCAGAATTTATCAAGTTTGGAAATGGCTACACTGGGGTCACTGCATAGAACTCAGTCCTCAGCTGCTGTTCTCACCCCTCAGCTTCAGCCACTGCACAGCCTACGCCAAACAGCACTGGATGCTGACAAGCCAGGGATATTAGAGCAAATGAAAGCTGTGAGGGCTCAACTTCCCTAAAGGATGAAAAGTGTAAGGACAGGAGTCTCTCTGGTTAAGCTAGGCCAGGAGAACTACTGGCAGCAGGCTATCATGGTTTGAGGGATGCAGAAGGCTCTGTCAAACAGCTGCAGCACAAACTGCACTGCTGAAGGTAGTTTATTTTCTGAACTGTATCTCTGCTCCACAGCCTCTGTTCACATTCAGAAGAAATAACGGTATTATAGAACAGATTAAACCCTCAAAGTCTGCTTCATTTCATGATTACCTTACACATCTGCCTTAAACTGCAAGATGTCCTCCATCCTTTGTTACACATCACGTAGCCACCACTTTCTTCATAAGCATATCAAACTCAAGTGTCACACTGAAGGATTTGAGAGCTTCTAGCCTTTTCTCAGAGGGATATCTGTGTGGAAAACATGCATTACAGTGCCTAAGAAAGGGAAGGAAGTTCTGAAGCTACAGAAGACTATCTTCACTGGGACAGTCTGCTGTCTACTGCATGCACTGTGGTGTATCAACATGGAAAAAACTCTCCGATAAAAAAGAAAAAGAAACTTTCCCAGCTCTGAAGTTTTCTTAAATGTACTCATTATTTTATTGACCTGAAGCTCAGCTCAAGTTTATTGACAGTTATGAACTTCTGGGAAACGGTACTTGCTGTTATGCAAACTCGTAACAAGCTGTGAGCAAACTTGAGCCATATTCCACGTTGTAGATGTCAGCAAGAGTAATGCTGAAGAAATTGGACGTTTTGGTTTTAACTGCGTTCAGACATGAGGCTTCAAACTGAACCACAGTGTGCCAAACTACACAAAGCAGTTCAAGGAAAAATTATGTAAATCTTGACAAACAAACTGCTGTGATGGAAACAGTTCAAGTGGAACCCAGCTTCTCGGGCACCAAGTTCTCAAGGACTCTCAAGACCCATTTCCCTGCCAGAAGAAACCCTATCCCTGTTGCATTGATTCTTTCTGTGTTCCCTGTGAAGTCCTCGGGACACTGACTCAGAGGAGTCTGGATGGGAAATAGGCATTGAACAGGGGACAAATATTTGTTCTATCAGCACCACCCTACATTCCCTGACACCCTTGTATAAGAAGGTACTTGCAGAGAAGCAATCCTGGAGGCAATGAAATGAAGGATGTAATTCAAGCTTTACAGATTTCTGGATATAAACCAGGATATGAAATTACTGTGTATAGACACTAGGAGAGGGGTGAAAGGAGAAGAGCTGTACAAGGTGACACAGGAGCAAACATATCTATAGTTACTCAAAATATTTTTAAAAAGTTGCCATCAACAGAGCGAGGATCTAGACAACTGTTCCGGCAGAAAGAATGGGCACAAGAAACCTAGACAGGTTTAAGATAAATTGATTAAGATACATGAAAGAGCCATATGATGACACAGACAGCAGCGATAAAACAAGATAACACAGCATTATATTTCAGTCCAACTGCCTTAGTTGAAACCTCAGAACGGCACAGTAATAAACTGTCATTAACAGAAAACGGTATTCAAACAACTTTCTTTAAAGATTGAGCTTCCCAAATTATGAAATAGAACTTTAAAAATAGTTTATTAGAGATTTACCAAACTTGAAAACAAAATCCACTAAACTTAAACAATCAAGACAACTTTAAATCCAATCAAGCAGAAGTCAGAACGTCACCTCCATGCGAAAGAAGCAGCAACCTCAAATAAAGTGTTTTTAGCTGCATTCAGCAACGGTAACCAGCACTACCAGGGTACGTTTAATGTACTGCATTTATTAAAGCACATTCCCCTTCCCAGATTCCCCTGATGCAGTGAAATAGGCATCTGTGGAGAGGCTGCAGGTTGTCGCTGCTGGGTGCAGTTTTCGACAGCTTGGTGCTGACCCCCAGTGTCAGCCGCCCCGAATTACCGCCCGGTGAGCGAAGGCAGGATGCCAGCCATCCCGCCCCACTGTCACACACAAACTGTGCCACTGATGTTGTATTTTTCAGGGTTTAGGCATGCATTTTCATCCAAATTGTGATTGCTTGTGACTTTACAATATATTCTTCTAGGTCTGAACACCTTCTATGTCTCTCCTATGTTGTCATGATGAAAAAAAACCAACTACCAGACAAAAGCCGAACTCCACAGGATCTCAGCAAATCAGTTAGCCAACGCAAAGATCAATTAAGTACTTAGTCATACACTATAGTCTCCAGCGCCAAATCACAGATATTATTCAAATATATGAACAGTAATCAAAATTAACATTTGTTTCTTCCTATGCAGTTGCTATTGCAATAATATGGCATCTGAACAAAGCAGCAGCTTCCTGGTTTAAGCACTTCTACTTTACTTACTCAACTCAGTAATACCCAGAGAGTTTGTATTATGACTCAAGTGAAAGCAAGTCTTTTTCATTCAAAGATCTTAGTTCTCACATTTCAGAGGAAATGTTTTTTTTTCTTCCTGGGCTCAGGAAAAAAGGGTAGCTTCTTCCCACTTCTGTCCACAGAAAATACTATAGCCAGGCCAAACTGTAAGAAAATCTAAGGCTTTAGGTTTTCCACAGTTCTTTGTGTATGCGAATACATAAGGACAGCAGAAGACCTGCAGGAACTGCAGCGTGTAGCTAGGTAGTTTTTCAAATAGTCTATACACCTTTCTAAAGAACAGATAACATAATCCAAACTCTTTGTTGCATATGATTAACACTCTTCAGAAAATTGATATCAAAGTGTATGTACAATAAAAAATACCTAATTTTCATAAAATGTCTGTATAAATACATCTCCTTGACACACTCCTCACAGTGATTTCTGCCTGTAAATTAAACGTTTTAACTGTGCAGTTGTCAGAACTTTGGGTTTATCTTCATATTTCTGTTAGAAACCTTCCTTTGCAAAAGAAAGTTTCAGGTAAGAATACTTATACAGAGCACCCTGGATTCACACCAATAAAACTATTAAAATTCTGATGTACATATTTGAAAATCATTTTGTATTTTCAAACGGGGATTGATAAACTGCACAGTTCTCATTCCAGTCGTCCTTGCTTAGCATCACCTATTGCTCCCCATACATCAAAGACAAACTCATCTGGAAATGCAAAGTCACCCAGAGTTTCATCCAATGCTACTGCAAATTCATCCGGGTTTTTCTTGTCTCTTCCAGCTTCCACCATTGTTGCAGCTAAAAAGCAACAAAACCAAAAAAAGTCATTATCATTAAAGTGACAGCTAATATATACAGTTAGTTTTTCAACATCTATTTTCAAATCTGGGTAAGGTCAGCTTAAGGAGATGTAAAGCTTACCTACTGAATTCGGGATTCAGTAGCATTATGTACTTAAATGCCCCCCTCACTAGCTACATTCTGCTCTGATAAACAGGAGAGCTTCTCTGGAGTGCTCGTTATATATTCTTCCGTCTGTTTGGCAGAGGTTTGACTTTTAATTCAATGAATCTTCGTTTTAATCTTATTAAATTATATTCTGTATTCATTACTGAAGGCACATGAAGCATAGGTCTAAAAACAAGGTTAAGCACAACTCTTCTGCCATAACAAGACTATGCCAGTTCATTGCCAGCTTCAGTGAGTTTGATATGAGTCCTGCTGATGTAAAGCAGAAGATCAAAAGGCAAACCTGAATGTTTTTCTCCTCTAAACAATGAAGTAAAGATCTCAATAGTTCAGAGTTTAAAGTGGACGGGTTTTTCACAGAAAGCCAAAAAGTACAGGGTTTGAACATGGAAAACAACACACAGCCTGCAGAATAGATACATGCAACCGAGCTAGTATGGGTTTGCTAGTAACCCATGCTTTACGAGTTTAAAGGTTTAAATGTTGAGCATGACCTGCCTTTAGAAAAGAGTAATGATAAATATGCCTGGAGAAAACACTTGAATATCCTACTTTGTGAAACAAGATTTCGAAGACTAGGCTCAACTAGTGTGTTGTGTAAAATACAGAGAAAATTAATATCTGGTTTGTTAGGTATTGGACACAGTATGTTTCATGCTCTCAGGAAATTACCGTTTGACCTCAAACAGATTTGCTTAATTTTTCATCTTAATTTAATTTTAACTAACTTTAGCTTAATTTTTTAACCCAAAGAAAGCCTCCTTCAGGTAGTAAAGAGACTGAGGCATTTATTGCAAGTCACATTATTCTTCTGCTTGAATCTACGTTTTTTTCCATGCCATCCAAACTCAAGAGTAACTAATTTTAGTGCATGAGTTTGCTTCAGTTATTATTACCTCCAGCTCTGAAAAGTAAATCCTTAATTTGTACCACCCTCAAGGCTGGGAAAGTTTGTGCTTATGTCACTAGGAAGTGAAAAAGATCAAAGTTACTCCTGGAAGTCTCAGCCAGGTGGTTTGAATTGTGCAAAAGCAAGGGAAAGACCTTGCTGCTGTGCACAATAAACTGGAGCCACCAAAGACTATGAACATCTTGGTACCCAGGAATGATAAAGCACAGAAGCCCAATACAATGGATGTAGACTGTGATATCTTGTATACCCACGCTGTCTGGCATTTTCTCTTATTTAGCACCCAAGTATCAGAATTTATCAAGTTTGGAAATGGCTACACTGGGGTCACTGCATAGAACTCAGTCCTCAGCTGCTGTTCTCACCCCTCAGCTTCAGCCACTGCACAGCCTACGCCAAACAGCACTGGATGCTGACAAGCCAGGGATATTAGAGCAAATGAAAGCTGTGAGGGCTCAACTTCCCTAAAGGATGAAAAGTGTAAGGACAGGAGTCTCTCTGGTTAAGCTAGGCCAGGAGAACTACTGGCAGCAGGCTATCATGGTTTGAGGGATGCAGAATGCTCTGTCAAACAGCCGCAGCACAAACTGCACTGCTGAAGGTAGTTTATTTTCTGAACTGTATCTCTGCTCCACAGCCTCTGTTCACATTCAGAAGAAATAACGGTATTATAGAACAGATTAAACCCTCAAAGTCTGCTTCATTTCATGATTACCTTACACATCTGCCTTAAACTGCAAGATGTCCTCCATCCTTTGTTACACATCACGTAGCCACCACTTTCTTCATAAGCATATCAAACTCAAGTGTCACACTGAAGGATTTGAGAGCTTCTAGCCTTTTCTCAGAGGGATATCTGTGTGGAAAACATGCATTACAGTGCCTAAGAAAGGGAAGGAAGTTCTGAAGCTACAGAAGACTATCTTCACTGGGACAGTCTGCTGTCTACTGCATGCACTGTGCTGTATCAACATGGAAAAAACTCTCCGATAAAAAAGAAAAAGAAACTTTCCCAGCTCTGAAGTTTTCTTAAATGTACTCATTATTTTATTGACCTGAAGCTCAGCTCAAGTTTATTGACAGTTATGAACTTCTGGGAAACGGTACTTGCTGTTATGCAAACTCGTAACAAGCTGTGAGCAAACTTGAGCCATATTCCACGTTGTAGATGTCAGCAAGAGTAATGCTGAAGAAATTGGACGTTTTGGTTTTAACTGCGTTCAGACATGAGGCTTCAAACTGAACCACAGTGTGCCAAACTACACAAAGCAGTTCAAGGAAAAATTATGTAAATCTTGACAAACAAACTGCTGTGATGGAAACAGTTCAAGTGGAACCCAGCTTCTCGGGCACCAAGTTCTCAAGGACTCTCAAGACCCATTTCCCTGCCAGAAGAAACCCTATCCCTGTTGCATTGATTCTTTCTGTGTTCCCTGTGAAGTCCTCGGGACACTGACTCAGAGGAGTCTGGATGGGAAATAGGCATTGAACAGGGGACAAATATTTGTTCTATCAGCACCACCCTACATTCCCTGACACCCTTGTATAAGAAGGTACTTGCAGAGAAGCAATCCTGGAGGCAATGAAATGAAGGATGTAATTCAAGCTTTACAGATTTCTGGATATAAACCAGGATATGAAATTACTGTGTATAGACACTAGGAGAGGGGTGAAAGGAGAAGAGCTGTACAAGGTGACACAGGAGCAAACATATCTATAGTTACTCAAAATATTTTTAAAAAGTTGCCATCAACAGAGCGAGGATCTAGACAACTGTTCCGGCAGAAAGAATGGGCACAAGAAACCTAGACAGGTTTAAGATAAATTGATTAAGATACATGAAAGAGCCATATGATGACACAGACAGCAGCGATAAAACAAGATAACACAGCATTATATTTCAGTCCAACTGCCTTAGTTGAAACCTCAGAACGGCACAGTAATAAACTGTCATTAACAGAAAACGGTATTCAAACAACTTTCTTTAAAGATTGAGCTTCCCAAATTATGAAATAGAACTTTAAAAATAGTTTATTAGAGATTTACCAAACTTGAAAACAAAATCCACTAAACTTAAACAATCAAGACAACTTTAAATCCAATCAAGCAGAAGTCAGAACGTCACCTCCATGCGAAAGAAGCAGCAACCTCAAATAAAGTGTTTTTAGCTGCATTCAGCAACGGTAACCAGCACTACCAGGGTACGTTTAATGTACTGCATTTATTAAAGCACATTCCCCTTCCCAGATTCCCCTGATGCAGTGAAATAGGCATCTGTGGAGAGGCTGCAGGTTGTCGCTGCTGGGTGCAGTTTTCGACAGCTTGGTGCTGACCCCCAGTGTCAGCCGCCCCGAATTACCGCCCGGTGAGCGAAGGCAGGATGCCAGCCATCCCGCCCCACTGTCACACACAAACTGTGCCACTGATGTTACACGGAGGGGCAAATCTGAACCCTGCTTCACTGCTGTCACACATACAGGGATGCTACAGCTGACCAGCCTTCTCTGTCACCCAGTGCACGTATTCCTATTTCCCACAGAGAGGGGATGGAATTCCCTCCTGGCCACAGCTGTGCAGAACATCCATGTTTACACAATGACATTTGCAGCGCATAATTCCCAAGGCGAATCACAAGCTACTGATTGCCAAGGCATTTTAGCAGATACTTGCCAACTTGAAGAAAACTTTACTGGTTCTCAGAGGGTGACAGCTCTGTGCCAAATTGCCTCTGCTCCCCTCCCTTTCCCCCACTGCTTCTTGTAACAGCTGCACAATAGCTGATTACAGGAATTTTATTCCAATAGAATATTTTTCCACACTCCAGATAGCCCCAATTGTTTTCAGATTTGATTGTGGTTTGTTTTTTTTTTTAATCTCACTTCAGGCAGTGCTCATACCTGAGAAATTTTTACATAAAATGTGAAAAGTTCAGCAAATTTAAAAGTGATGAAAGGAATTAGAAGTCTTCTCAACTTTAAATGAGAAGCTCAATATCAGGTTTCCCAGAGTATTAACAAAACAGTAGTTTTAAACCTAGTCACTTTACAATAACTTCAAAGATCTTCCACAAAACCATTATTTTCACTTTTGAAGACACATGCAGCACAAGCCATGAAATCTATGATCTACCTGTCACTGTTATCTACCTTACATAGGGGTTTTGCTACCTGTATCCTAGCCTGTAACTTCTAAAAAAAGTTTTTAAAGTCTTAGCAGAAACTTCCAAATTTCTTTAGCTGTAATTCTAGCAGAAGCTTTGCCTTCATCAAAAGGTAACAAATATTATTATTCTGGCCTGACACCATAAATGAGCCAAAATTTACACTCAAGATTCCCTACAACATGACAGAAAATGAACTGTCATTGCAGTTTCCAGTGTTTAACATCACTTAGTTTAATTTCACGTTGAACACTGTCAGAACTGGCACTCAAAAAACCATAAAAGATATCCTTTCTTCTTGTTTCTTTTTATTAACTATTAATTCTTCCTGAAATGGAGAAGTTTTCTTGTTTAACCAGACTTTCCACCTTTCCCTTTTTCACAAAACTCCCCTTATTCTCTCAGAGTAAATGAACGTAAACAATATACCCCAGAGTGTATACAATAAAATCCTTTGGGAAAAAAGAAGTCAGGTGACAGGAGGAGCAGAAAACAACAGATTCAGAGTGAATATAACGTTAGTCAAAGCATTTCAAGATAAAAACATCCATCCAGTATTGCTGGGTTGGCTTAGTGAGCCAAAAAAAGAAGGCTGGGTGACAAAAAGTTTAAACCCCTTAGGACATTTTGACTAGATGGTAAGTTTGAAAAATGAAGTCAAGAGTGGAGAGCAGATTTTACATTCTTCTAAAGAGAGACAGAGAATATGCAAAGACATGTAATGTCTGACAATATTATATGGAACAACGGAAATAAACATCCAAAAGCATAAAAATAGAAGAAAATATCAGTGGGTAAGGAGCTAGCCAAAAGATGCTGAAAAAAATGTTGGATGGGAACCCCTTTTTGCCATCATTTTTCCTATCAGTAGCATTCTGGGGTTGGTTCCCATACATCCAGGCTTCCTCCCACCCAGAATCTTTGGGATCAAAGAGAGTCCATAACAATTCAAGCCTCGTTGATTTAAGAAATAGATGCCACCAGTATTTTTCACCAGCACTGCTTCCTGAGTCCCTCCTATTAATCAACTGTTCACGTCCCTTTACCAGAAAGCACTGACAGGATTTAAAATAACTTGAATTATCTCTCAATGGCGCAATTATGTCTTAAAGAAGGCTGAAGTCAAGCCTTGGCCCAACTTCTAATGTGACCATAAAATGGCTGAGGAATACACTTCCAGAGCCAAGCATCTCTTCTGCAGATTAAGTCAAATTTTCAGTAAAATAAGAGGTAAAAAGGTAAAAGTGCATTCAAAAGGCAGCAGCATTTAGATCTCTGAAAGTAAAAAACTGTGCCAAAAAAAAAGTAAGTGTATGCATTTCCACTAAATGATTTCCAAGCATTTTGCTCCAACTTAGGGATTTGTGTGTAGATTCAGTCAGGCATTCTTGAAACTGTCAAGATACTTAACTATGCAAAAATTAAGGGCTTTATCTCATCTTTAATTCTGTCTGTAATTTTACATTATTCTTTCTTTCCTTTCTTTCTAACTTCTGGCTTAAAACTGGGGCACTGTTTTAGAATTCAATCACACCATGGAAGTGTCATTTTAATGGAGATGAAAGAGCAATATTAACTGACATCCAAAGCTTCTGACAAACAGAACTGCATGGGAGTGAGCAATGATTGAGATCTTAATCACTTGTCGGCTGTCGCGTTGTGATGACTTGCATTTTCAACTAATCTGGCTTGAGTAATGAGTGAAATTTCTAGCTGAGTGATGATTGGCATTCTCTGAATGAATCCTTTCCTCATATTTCATTTTCATGGGTGACTGATCACATCCAGTATATGAAAAACTGACATATGTTAATTGAACAGATTTGTGACAGGTGATTAGCTCTCCTTTCCTAAAGAGTCCTAGAGCTGTTTAATTGTTTAAAATTGATAAAACAGGGGGTTTTTTGGTCGTCACTGTTAGCTCTCGACTCTAAGATTTCAACTTTAGGAAATGGCTTCAAAGGTACTAAAGCTACATGAACCCTGTAGTCTTTGATTCCTGACAGTTTCTCTTTGTTTCACTGCCTTTTGGGGAGGAAGAGAAAGAGATGGTGAAGGGTAAAACAACAACCCAGTTCGGAAGAAGAGAGTATCTTTGAAGACAAAGACCTCTTCCTTCTTTGAGTGTTCTTTTAAGGCATTGTTTGAAACTTTCCAAACTACATACTGAAAGATGAATGACATTAGATCTTTTGGGGAAAAAAAAAATAAAAATCAAGGATTTCATGGGAAAACTCTACCAGGTGCTTGGCAACTGGCTCAGCCGTATGTGCTGAAAGCTGAACTCCTCAGTCTACTGTACAAGAGCCACCCCGTTACAGCACTGAGAGCCAAAAACACAGGGAACACCGGTTCCCACAGGAACTTGCTTCCCTGTCCCAGAGCAGAGCATAGCACATCTCAACAGTCCAAGAAACCGTGCTCTAGCCCAGGATCTCAGGGTTCTAGGCTATCAACACCAAAACCAGAACACCTGTAGCTGCTTGCCCCTGCAAGCCCAGGAGCCTGGGGACCCTGGAGGTAACCTGCAAGGTCAAGAGCCTCCAGAAGCCCAGCTCAAGCCGGAATTGCAACAGCTGCAGGACAAAAACAGCTCCCAGAGGGACAGTTGGCATGAGACTCGGGAGCTTTGAAGCCTGAGCCAAAGATGGACCGAGCAGCAGAGGCTGCAAGAGAGTGACAGGACACGGGATCTTCCCTAACTGAAAGGGACAGCACCACACAGGGCTCCCAGGAGCACGGCAGAGGCATCACATATTAGAGTCTCTGGGAATGGAATTTTAGTTTTCTAGGAATTGGAAAGTTTAGATATTACTAACAAAACAGAATTCACATGTTTTGGGCAGCTCCACTCTCTCTTCTATGCCAGGAAGCACACCTCTACCTTCGGCTAGGGACAAAATGACCTACAGTTTTTCCTGCAAGAAAACTAGCAGGAGCTGCCAATCAGATTCTTTCAGGTAGGAGCCAACAAAGGATTTTTGGATTTTTGGCTATTCAGATAATCTCCTATTGTTCTCATTCCTCCATGCTAACTGCTGCCTGTCCAACCCCCATGCTTTGCCTTTCGCTTTGTGCCAGACCTATTTTCTCTTCTGCTTTGCCTCCTCCACTTCTCCCTCAAAACAGCTTTCTTCTCCAGATTGCTTCCCATTTAGCCTATCCTTTCCTAATATCTGGCTGATTTTTTTAGATATTACCGTAACAATAAACACCTTTCTTTTCATCTCAGTATTAGCAGTTCCACAAGATCGTATGAGGACTACACCCAGCCACAGCCAGCTACAGCAGCACGTCTTACTCGGATGGACTGCAGCTTCTTCTCATGCAAACAGAAGTTCATATTTAGTTGTTGTCAGACTAACAGGGAGAAGCAACCGCTGCAAGGACAAGTTTGGTGCAGTTTTAAGGAATTTATGGCACTGGGGTTGAACAGCATCTTTCATTATAAATTGATGATTGTCGTAGCTAGCAAATCCTCTGGAAAATTTCCCATGTTCTTCAGAACAGAGGCTTTAGAGAATTTGATAAATTTGTGCAATTACTCTGTCAGTTCCCTGGCTAAATAGTTGCCCTTTCACTGATGAAGATCTCAGACTCAAACTTTAGTGATCAACTTTGATGTGTCTAAGCCAAGGGGCAAAAGAGCAAAAAAAACAAATAGACAAGCTTATCTTTAGCAATCCTTAAACGCAGTACACACAAGCTCCACTAGAAAAAATATGCCAGAAGAATACTGTGATGACAGTTAATAGCAAACAACTAAATAACTCACGCAATAGCATATAGATAACGTGCAGGAAGAATAGAAGAGTCATTAATTACATCATAAGGCTTGGAGTGAGACATTCTTTTATCAGAGACACACATTTGCAGAAATACAGGCAATTTTTTGAGACTGCATGCTGGACAAATTTTGTTTTGCTTACATCAAGAGAAAGTTCAGCCTACAGAAAAGGAGAAATTATTTAATCTTGTAGTAAAGTATCTGTTAAAAACTCACCTAATTCAATATCTCTTATCCCCATGTATGTTTCAAGAAGCTCATCCACTTTTTTAATAGCTTTTTCTTCAACTGCAGTTGGCTTTGTTGAATAAAGAGAGAAAAAGAGCAAAAGTATGATTATATCCATGCAGATTTCAAAATAACCAGCAACTCGCCACTGATTATCCTTACTCCCATCCTAGCCACCTAGACCTACAAAATCTCCAAGTAAAACACGTTATTCAACACTCTTTCCCTCTTCTCACAAACCTGAGCCCTCCCCTCCTAACGTCAAGACACACAGCTCTCACATTCAAACTAAACAGGGGCTTTACATCTCCTGACAGTTCATCAAATCCTCACCAGCTTTAGAAGAACCCAGAATAAATCACGTTTCTTCTTCCAAACCCTAATCCTGGTTTTACACATATTCATGTCAACATACGTTATTAGCCTCTCCTAACAATAGCCCTTACACCAGCCCAGTACACTTCACAATGTCAGAAACAGAACCAACTCTTCAACCATCGCTCTCCCTTTTTTTCCCTCCTTCCCTCTTTTCAACACGCCGTGGTTTAATCTACCTTAAATTCATCCATGTAATCCGTGACATCTAAATATAGGCTCTCTGTCTCCAGATTCATCAGCCCCTTCCCATCCCTGCTAGTCTTCAACTTTATATAAGCACTTGTCCCTGCTGAAGGCAGTTGTCTTCTTCAGTCCCGCAAGCTTTGTAACATCCTGATTTTTCCCTCCTACTTTATCTTATCAGCCTTGGGAAAGAATAAATCAGGTGCTAGATGACTAAACTATTGAAAGGCCCCAAGATAGCTATACCATTTCTTCCACAGTAGCAGGGCCTTTGGTTCTCAGCCGAAGTGTTTCTCTCCCTCTGGAGATTTTAGCCTCTGGCAGAGTTCCACCTTTGGATCTTGCTTCCAGCTTTTCTAAAGACAAAAGAAACAAGAACAACAAATACAAAAATATACCAGAGTTAAGTGTATGGTACCTAAGATTATTATATATCTGCTTTGGCTATTACATTACCTTCACTTTTTATTCTAATCAAGACCTAGACGTATGTAAAAAATTAATTATAAATTAACTGTATTCTAAGTATAGCTTCATTGGCAATTTCTTGTCTTCAGACTTTTGGTATCTGCTTGACTGCACTGAAACTTGGACTTCCATTAACAAATATATATATTTGCAGGCCTATTGGACTCAACTTTACATATACACTTTGTATAACTTCATTTCCTTATCCTACAGAAAAGCAGAAGTATTTATTACTTAATATTAGCTAATAGTTGAAGTCATCAGCCAAACACTGTTCTATCTGATCTTTACAGGCAGACTATGTAGAAGGTTTAGCACTGCAACATCTCCATCTTTCACCAATGAATTGGTGCAAACACCACTGCTAAACAGGTGGTGATGAGCCAACACTGAGTGGAGCTAACAATTCCATTACTAGCAGGCACATAGGTGAAATGTCCGTAAGTAGATCTGCAGTTTTTCCACTGGTTTCACTGAAGTCATGATTTCACACCTGATAAACCTCTACCAAGAAAAGTTCACCCAAAGTTTTCTTTACCTGAATTCAGCTTTCCTTTTTAATCTTGGGAAATGGCACCTCAGTTAGTAAATGGAGTATGGAATCATTTAAGATTTGGCTTTCTTGTTGTAGGACATAATCTTACATTCAAGAGTGGGCAAGGCTTTAATTAACTTAATGACATGACAATTACATAGTTAATCTAGAAAGTGCTGGAAGAGAGGACATAATTTTGCAGAACTGTTTTTAACTGTGCTGTTTTGTCTACCAGATCGTTCCTCCCCTTAACAGCTGGCCTTTCTAATAAGCTCTCCTTGAAGGCAACGCTTTAACATGTTCTATTCATTTTGTCCAGGTAGATTCCAACTCATCATTCTTGCATAAGCAGTCAAAAATCTAGATAATTCTGCTGAACAAGTCTTGAAAAGTAAATTTTAATTGTTTTTATTTTAACAAATAGATACTGCACCGTTTATTACATATATACTTAGGATCATCACTTTTCCTTAATCCTTTTATTGCTTCAAGGACAGTTTAAAACATCCTTAGGATTGTCACCATCTCTGCTAGACTTGTTTCAAAAAGTGATTCCTGATACAACATACAACTTCTTCTAGCTTTGTCACCATTAGCACCTTAAAACTCATGATTTGACAGAACCTTTACTTGCAATGCTTTAGATCAAAACTCTCTGGCCATCATAGAAATTATTTTTCATAGTAACATAATTTAAATTTAGAGTTTGTGTTATGCTGCTTTTAGTCAGTTTCTATTGATTTTTCACCAATTTGTAGAGGGCAAGCTTGTGACTGGTAAGGACCAATTTTATTCAGACAAGTCTTTAATTCTGTGCTCCAAGCCTTGCCTAGAGTAGCTGAGGCAGTCTGTGTGCACATGGTAGAATGATATCCAAGCAGTAAATCATATTTATTTCACATTCTGCTGAGAGGAGGAAAAATAAAAGTAATTTCACACACAGACTTGTCTCTTATTTCTATACCATAACAAACTTGTGTTGAAACTAACAGGAATTCAGCACCTACTTGTCCAGCAGGATCTGGATCTTATTTGTCATCTCTTCTGAGGCTATTCTTGGCACGCTGCAGCTTAAAGACTATCTTGAATAAATTTGTGCCTAAAGTCTAACTGCATCTAAGGCTAGAGGCAGGATACTCTTACCTATTGGGCACTGGAACTTGTAAATTAATTTCTGTAGGGTAAAAAATAACATGCATCTTCTAAAAATGTGTCTAAAAACCCCCGATTGCCCCTTAATTCAATGTCAGATAAAAGGTATTGCCATGGAATTAGCAGGTTTCCTTCTCTACATCAGACTGAAAGATATCTTAATCACCTGACTAAAGTAATTACTATTAAATAATGGCTGAAGTCATCAATCAAATACTGATTTACTCTGGTTTTTACAAATAAAATGTGTAACACATTTAGCATTGAATATAAATTATTGAGCCATATTTAAAAGATATTCCTATATTACTAATTGCAATACTATACATATGTAATATTACTTCAGCATAATGTATAATATACACATTTACTTAACGGGAATATCAACTTACATCCAAATGCATTAGAGATTAGTTCATAACCCTCATTCTTCACAGAAACACCGAAAGGAAATAGAAACCTTCAAATTTCTCTAATTTTCAATTTCTGCTGCTATTCTGACACCAAGTGTCAGGACTGGTGTATGGCAGCAACTGTAAACTACTAACAGATAAAAAAAGATTTGAAACATAAAAATTTTAAATTTTTGCTGCTGTGGTGAAGATGGTGATTTTTAACTTGCTGTTAGTGCAGGCATGCACAAGGACTCATAAACACTTATAATTTGGTGGTATTTTGAAGTTTTTATTACAGAAAAATGCTACCTGGGTTGGGAGGCAATATAACAAATTGAAAGAATAAAAATTCAAACTCTTAGGTTTTGGGTTTTTTTTTTTTCTTTGTTTTTAGTTTACCACATTGATAAAATTAACATACATAAGGATTATGATTAGGTTTGGGTTCCTCCTATATGAGTATCGCTTTCTCATGGCATGCAGATGGTAGAGATAGAGCTTTGCCATACTGCTTTCTTTCAAGTATACCCCGTGCATGATTAGAGATCCACAAAAAAGTCGGGAAGAAAAGGCAGGCATGTAGCAAAGGAGATGCTCTAGGAAATCCCAGACAGTGTTTTCTGCAGCATCCTTCTGCCTCGGAGAGCACAGTCCCCAGTAAAGGGTTCAGAAATACAAAAATCCGACACACAGAAGAACAGGGGTTATGTATCAATACAGAAAAAGAGAAAAGGAGGTTCGAGGGTCAGTGCATTAAAACTGTGTCTGCAAGACAATTCCTGTACTTATTTTGCATCATCATGTGGTGGCAGAGGAATTGAGCAACTGAGACTCAGGCTGAGGCAGCCCATATCAGGATGACTGCTGGAGAAAGCAAGATGGAAGAAAATCCATTCATAAAATTCCGTCTCAAAAGGAAAAAAAAAAAATCCAGAAAAAAAACCCAAACATTTTTTTTGTATCAGTTATACTACCTTGGGTGAACACCTGGCTGCAATATGAAAACAAACTTAAAACGCAATGTAATGTTGGGATTTTGATATGCAGTGAACAATGTGGACAGTCAGGTCACTCACCAAATGCTTTCATAGGCTCTATCAACTCCAGCTTAAACATCTGACCTTTCTCCAGGTCTTTTAGCATTCTGGCAACTTCATAATGCCGACAGTCTGACACATTTTTTCCATTTATAGTCTCTATGTGATCCCCCACGCAGACGATTTTGGTTTGGTCCATAAGGCTACCTTCTTTGATTCGCTTTTAAAATAAATAAGTAAATAAATAAATAAATTCAAAACATTTCTTTAAAAGATAAAGAGGGGACACCACAGAGTTGCAAGAATGTTAGTTAACAGCATCAACAGCATTGAGCTTATTATACCAGCAGTGTGTTTTGTCTATAAGATTTTCATAAAATGTATTTTGGAAAGCATTATTTTTCAAACAAAGTATTTTAATAAGCATTGAATATAAAATCAACAGGGGAAAAAAAATAGAAAGAATGTAATCATACTTAAGAAATCAAGGCTTCTGAATAAACTAAATTGTTGTGCATTAAAACTCAACCCAAACATGTCAGTAATGTGAGTGCTTAACTGACTTTTGGAGGGTTATTTTGATTTAACAGCTTGACAAGCATAGGAACAGAACTTTTATCTTTTCAAGCATGGTCCAGGGACATGTGTGTAATATACTAAAAAATGACATACTATAAAGGGCTAGTCTTAATAAGACCCATCAATGGTGATAGAACTTCTGGCATTTTCCTTATTAAGCTATACAGATGCATATTAATGTATTTCCTCTGAAATAACAATAAAGAATAATAAATTATTCTACATGTCATCTCATGGAACACAAATGGTCTAAAGACCATAAAATGTAACAGAAGTAAATACTGGTACTTTTTGTGACGTGGAATTTAAAAAGCAAGAAAAAAACCCAATCTCTATGACTTATCAAGTCAATTAAAGTACATTTAAAATATTAGTGATTCTGTTTATTGTTGCTACATGCTGTCACATTTGTTTATCGTGTGCCTAAATCGTGTAACACGTTATCCTATGGCTATTTAACAGAAAAGCTATGGCATAGTAGAATATCCTATATTTTGTAGAGATGCCAATTTCATTCCAGTATCTTCCCGAACCACGTAGTTTTCAATAAAGACTGATATTGTTCAGGCTAACTTCCAGCGAGATAACAGTGAGACAAGGGAGATAAACATATTACCACCTCCTACTGTAACACCTAGCCTAGCTGCACAACTCTCTCAGAAACCTGCTTCTAGTTTATGTGTGCACGTCTGAGCCCACATACGTGCCTCCATCTGAGAGAGTCAGTGGGAAGTGTGACAGTGCTCAGCGTCCTATAATACACTCCAACAATTTTTAGCTTCAGCCTGAGTTTAACTCTTTCTAGCACTTTTTTCTTTTACCAAGATTAAATCCAAAGAAAAGCCTCATGGTGAGGGGGGGGGTACTGTAAAAACGCCACAAACCAGGTCCCAAATGCATTCCCTTTACCAGATGTCAGGATTCAAAAGCGTGCCCACCAGACTTCAATTAACGTTTAGTCTATGTGCTAAATGCGTTCTCATTTAGCATGTCTTCATCACTGGATCCTAACACCAAAACCATTAAAGTAATATTCACTGACTATGTTATTTGTGTCATATCAATGATTATTTTTTTTAATATGATTTAATTTTTATCATCACTCCAAGTTAACTGACAATAGGCAGCGAAGCTACATTGTTACAATAATTAAGATGCAATTGATATGCCTGCATTTCAAGTGCTCTACAGTCCATTTAGAAGCTAGCATCTATATTTTCTATGCAATTAATTGCACCACCCCATTTTATAAAGTCTCATGCACCAGTCAATCATGCTTCTAGTTCTACTGTTCTTCTTTGAATGGCTAATTTGATTCCTTAATACATCTTCCCAATTGGCCACATACCCAGAAAACAAATTTGTAAAAGTAGAACGACACCAAGTTTTGTTCTTAGTAGGGCAAAACAACATCAGATTTCACAGGAAAAGAACCTGCAGTTCAGAGTGTCAGGTTTAAAAACTGGGTGGTTTATATATCAAATCTAGAAATGGCCCTGTTACTCAAAACACAATAAAATTACTACAGCCTATAACAGCTTCCAACAACCCACAGACAGGTAAATTTAATATTAATTCTTAATTAAAAATGGAACAGTCATAATTTTTCCATTTTTATATGTTTATAAAAATATAAACACATAAATATGTAAACTAAAGGAACTTTATCAAACTTCAAAGTAGAGACAGTCTTTGCTTAGTCATTTACTGAGACCACCAAGCATAAAAAAGATGCAGCTTTTACTTTTGCATATGTATTTTCTACGCTGTTCTAAAAAAAATCCATTATCTAAACACACAACAGCAACAAAGCAAGCTTCTAGAAACCCCTTCAAACTGATGCATTCCCACAAAGACTGCACCGTTTTCATTATACTGCTTATTAGACCAGTACAAGGACAATGATGCATTTGTTCAGACAAGTTTTATACAATTTACTGGAAATTACAGCTTGTCTTGCTCATGTGGGGAGGGTTTTCCAGTCTGCTCCAATTAGGCAGCAGTCTGTGATGGCTGTTCTCTCTCTCCATATCACCAGGCACAGAGAGTAACACTCTGTACCGTGCTGCACACGTGAACTTTAGTCACTGAAGCGCTGCTCTTTCAATGCCTTCTGCTGAAATAGCACACACGCAGCAGCGTGACTGAACGTTACGAGCTGCATGGATGGCACCGCCAGCAATTCCGAGTTCTGTTGTCTGTAAAAATGAGGCTATGGCTTTGCCAAACTGCTTACTGAAACCTCCTCTGCATCTTGACTTTCTCAAGCGTGACCTCAATCATGTTTTTTTCCACAACAAAGACAAGCAAACCTATTTCTAAACCACGTCGTGGTTTATATCCATGGTAGCTAAGGAACAAATGGAGAATCCAACCTCTCCATACAGGCAGCTCTGTTTACACGAGCAATGAGAATAGCGATTGAAACAGCAGTAATCGAAGGTAATTGCCAATGCCTCACTAATAATGGGTAATTTGAGTAGATTAGAGCAAAGCATCTAAAAAAAGGTGGAATATGTGACTAATGTTCCTAATACCTGGTCTAGCAAGAAGGGTAGCATCATTTCCTCAGCCTCTACTTGTCTCAAAACAGAAGGAAGGAAAGCAACTATGATTAATATATTGTACATGTTACTGCCCATAGCTGCTACTTGAGTTGCTACTCAAGTTAATTGTGGTAAATTATGTTAATCCATATCCCTAACACCTTTTAATTCATCCTACTTACATAAGGCAACAGTACTGGAAAGCTGAAAAAGCACCGTACTTGCACCTATTCTTATAACACAAAGGCTTCTGCCCTGAGAACAGTCCTAAAGACTGAAAGAACTTGATCTCATTATCACATGAGTGACAGATGTTCTATAAGCACCTAATGAATGACGTCAGAAAATCACTTTTAAAAAAAAAAATAAAAATAGAGGGGGCAATGCAAGCAGTATCTAACACCTACCACCTCAGGGTAGGTCGGAAAATACAATGGTCACATTGTAAAGCTGATACACATTACAGAAGCAATGAACAAATGAACTAATTTTGAATGACATACAGCACAGAAATAGCTGAACTAATGTTGAATGATGGATCTAAAGAAAAGCAACTTTATTTTTAACTTATCATATAGATGATAATAAGAGATTTTAGTTCTAAAGGATCATTAAAACAATAATTAAACTGTTATAGTAACAGAAGCTTCTCTAGAACAAAGTATAATATTTCACTGGTAATTAATTTTACCTTTATAAATGCACAGCCAGTTCCATTGTCTGTAATGGTAAGCCCAAGCAGTTCATCAGTTTTAAGGACTTCCACTTCTTTTCGTCTTCCTTTTACGTGGGCAAATATGAAATCTTCAAGGCCAATTTGTGCACCTAAGAGCTTGTCCATATCAGCTTTATGAGTGTTCAAAGTGCAAAACATGATCTGCGTAGGAGGAAAGCAAACACATTACCTTCAAGTTTAATGGTATATTAGTTTTAGTGAGTTTGATAGGAAGAGAAAAGGAGAGCATAGTTCTGGCCTTTCTGACAGATCCAGAGCTGAAATGATGATTATTCTCCTTGCCCAGCTGCCCCAGGAGAGGTGATGGTCTCCATCCATGTACATGACAGGAAGCATCTATAGCTCAAACTCCACAGATAAGAGCTGGCAGGGAGCAAAGGAGAGAGACGAGCTGTCCCTCACAACCTGTCCCCACACACCAGCTCTGACACAGGCATCTTGAGCTAGAGCTGAAGAGCTTGTCCCAGAGGTTAGAGTGTGCAAACTGAAGAGCCACCACCGGCTTTTGCTTCAATGTTCACCCACCCCAAATTCCACAGGATTCAAGCATCACTAGGGACTGCTTCAAAATGTAAGTGCTTCAAAGCAGTTTCATGGGGGAAAAAAGTGAGCTCATCAAAACAAAAATATCAAGAGAGAGTATTAAATGTTCTATATTGCTCCACACGTTCCACCATTATGTCAGAACACATTCTCTCTGAAAAGCTTGCTTAGTTTCCTACCCTTCCTCCAGCATAAAGTGGGGGTCATCTCTGTTCCAGCAAATTTTTTCTTCGTATTTCAGCCTTTCTGAGGGATTTCCCCTCAACACTGGGTGTTAGACACTCCTTTTTCTCCCTACACTTATACCAGTGGTTCTTTAACAGGGGGCTTTATTGTCCTGGGCATAGGCAGGACGAGCCTAACCCAGCTGTACTGCTCGGGGCAGAGACAGTGCTTTTGCCCAGCACAGTGCCACGTGCAGGAATGTGGCCAGTCCGGGCAGGCTTTGGGCTCTCTGCTTTTTGATTATGGGCTGTACTGAACAGCCTAGCCAAAAAAAAAAACTAAAAAAAGAACAAAACCCCAAACCCAATGCTTCTTCTCCACACCTAGAGTAACTACACCTGCCTGACTCCTTCCCAAGCTGTAGCTGGAGCAGAGGGAGGGACACCCTGCACAGCCTTCTCCTGGGCAGCATCCAAAATAGAGGAACTCTGTGCTACAAGAAAAACTTGGAGAATCCCTAAAATTTGCTTCACCGAGGCAGAAAGTGGCCCTAAAGACCATCTTTCATGGGCAACTGGAAGCAGGGGAAGAGAAGGAGACTTGCCATCCCATTTGGCCCTCTGGCAGAGGCAGCAAAGCCACACCAGGCAAAGGCTCTGCTGCCAGCAGGACACACATGGCTCTGACAGGACAAGAGATAGAACTAGATACCTTTCTACCTCTCCCTGTATCTGCTGGACAGTATTTTCCTTCAGAATGCACCTTGGGCCCCCTTGCAGCCCACTCCACACATCAGCTCCCATAGGAAGTGGAAAAAGCAGTGGAATACACGGTGGGAAGCCAACCTAGCATGTGGGAAGCCAACCTAGCATTTGAGGAAAAACAGCAGCAGGGTGTTGCTCAGTGTCCTCCCTCTTTGCTCCCACTCCCACTCTTCTACGCTTATGAAAGTTATGGGGGTTTCTGCACCAGAACCTTTCAAATGTCTTTTCTTTCATTCTGGCATCACTGGATGACAGCAGAAAAATTGAAACAAAAGCCACCAACCTATTCAAATCTATTCCAGGTCAAATGCAGGGTCAATACTTTTACCAATGTATTTCACAGAGAGTATTTAAGTTTCTGAAGCTTTCTAGAGCTTAGTTTCAGTAAGTATGGGGGCTTTGGTTGTAAAAAATGAAAGTTTAGTAGCGAGATGGTGTTTCTTGATGACAGGGTCTTGTTTAGTTGTTGTTTAAACAAATAAACAAACAAATCAGTATTACTTCAAATGCTAATTGCTCATCTCATAATCCATCAAACATCCACTGCAATCTAATGCTTTAACAAGTGACAATCCGAACAGCACACCCTTAACAGACTTTAGTTTTATTCTCTCAGGTAATGCAAAGATTTTTCAGTTAATCAATACTCAAGCAGTAACATCACCTAGAGAAATTCAGCTGGTTTTAAGTAGAAAATTAAATTTTATTTTATAAATAATAATCTCTAATCATCAGCATTTTTTTTCGCCAGGAATGTTCAATTCAAACAGACTATATGAAGTTCACGTATACATTTTCAGTTCTCTCTCAAGCTCCATAATTAGTTGGCCAGTGTACAACTGCAACTCGGTGCTTATTCTTACAATGAACAAGAACTACGTCTTTATGATTTAGACATTAGCATCCTTCATCTGACCTTGTCAAACAAACAATCATCTACTAACCACTGTCACACCTTTGAATAGATAAAATTGGCAACAGAGCAGAAATGTGATATTTAGAAACTCGATCCAGAGTTTCTCTTTTTAGACCTTCATCTGGATGGCATTCCTGCTACAGCCTGTAAGTCTGTAGAATTTTCTCTGAGTCAGTTCTGTGCTAACCACAAGGCTGAGAGAGCATCAGCCAGTCAAAAATAAAACTTAAATCATTCTTTATCCTCTTTAGTGACAACTGCTTTTTCTCAGAACAGATATATGCAGAGAGTAATGCACTAAAGATGTACCTACCCAAGATAATATACAGTTACACCATCTATCAGTTACAGCACAGCTTTATTTGTAAGTGATTGAGACCTGTCAATTCAAAAATTATATTTTTTTTGTAGATTTTACATAATTTTTATGTAGGTACATAATAACAGCTTATATACTTAAATAATTAAACAACAGTACTACAGTACAACTTCCACTTACTCTTAAATTTGGTATATTTTTGACAGTAATTTTCTTGCCCAGAGATGAAGCCAGAAAAAATTCAAGGTGCAATTTTCATTGTTTAGTCATTTCTCTCTCTTCCCACCCTCAACCTTCATATGCATTTGATCTTTAACTCCACATACCAGTGCTGTGACATTTGATGCCAATTTCAGCAAGATATTATAAATCATAACAGTTACACCAGTCATGAATTATCTAGGATACCTCCTTCACTGAGAGAGTTATCTTGTGCAACGCACACAACAAGGAAATTCCATTCGGCTGGCAGGGACTGGGGGCTTATGCATAACCTTATAAAAGAGATTTGTCAGATAAGATTACTAACAGACTATTCCCTGCATCAGTATTTTCAATAGGAAGAGACTTTTTATTAGCCAATAAAAACAGGGTTATACTGTGTCTTATATAAAGAAACGATATTAGCTAAGAAAAAGAGGGTTACATTATGTGTTATATAAAGAATGTAAGCAGTACCATACTGCATATTTTACACATTAATTACATTCTTATCTTCCATATTAAGCCTACACCTTGAGAAGAACTCAAAAATAAATTGATGACTTAGAGATGACATACTCAGAAGCTATTAAAAGTGCTTTTAAAAATCAGTAGATCTCAGATAACTTTACAAAGGAGATCACAATTGCTTTCTCCATTAAGAGGTGGGGAAATGGGAATTCTACTTCTGAATAATATGTAACACCCACTGACATATTTCCCTACATACGTAGGCATCATTATATCAAGAAATCACCAACGCACTTTCTAGGTACTTTACTTACTTTATCCTCTCCAAGGAGAATGTGGGAGCTTTGACCACCTGCAGCAACAGGAAGAGTAACCAAGTCCTCCAAGTTCTAGACTGCTTTTGTTACTCTGGCAGGTACGCAACTTTGCCTCCCCAAATACATTCGAAGTACTATAAAATAAGCATTCAGGGGTTTATTTATTGTTCTTTTTTTAAACCCAGAGCACACAAGAATTACAGTGTAAGTTCTTCCATGCAGCTTAGAAGTATTTGACAAACAGATCATTAACACAGCAAGCATCACACCTAATAGGGGTGTGAAATTTAAGCACTGCTTAGGGGAACAGCAAGCAAACAATTTGTTGCCATAGGGCTGGGAGGAGGTGGTTTGCAGGGAGTGTTAAGTTTGTTCATTTAAAGTCTTAAATCTGTAGGCGAGAAGATTGCGAACACTTTGTTTCGACAGATAAGCATATACTCTAAAACTCTGAACATTTTGGTGATGAGGATTTCACAAGCTGAGCCTTTGCTCTGCCCTCCTAAAATACACTTCTGATTTTTTCTTGTTACGAGGTCACTTTTATTCAGAAAGCTAAGTTTCAGCAGTGGCTTATATTTCAGTATTCTTTCATAAAAGTTTAAATCGAACAGGTTTAAATCAAATACTTCTATGAAAGTTTAATGCGGCACAGGCTCACAGTATACTTAACTGTTTAGCATGAGGAGGCGAGGCTCACGGAACAACAGCCCAGACACAAGCTCAGCAGCTGAACTCTGGTTACTGGAAGAGAGGGAGCTGCATTTCTGCCCCTAGTGCTACTGGGAAGGTCTCCCTTTTTCTGTATTCCCCTTATGAAGCAAAATTCCTTCCACCGTGTACAAAACCCCAACCTCCATGGGCTCTTGACAGACACACCCACGGAGCATTGGACTTACCTCACCTTCCAAAGCAAACAAAGTAATCGAAAGTGCAAATTATGAATACACAAACCGAAAGTCCATACAGCATCTGGGGTTTACCATTCCCTTCTCATCTGATGGAGAAATAGCCCTGCTGCAGCTGGACTTTAATATCCACATTCCCAGTGCCCGATTAGCTTCTTTCAATGCTTTAAAGCCCTACCATGTGCTTTCCCAGGAGCACAACACCACCAAATGCTTTAACAAACCTACATTGTCCTTTGGTCAGTGCTCATTTATTTATCATACAGGCTGCACTTAGCACTTTCACCCTTACAGGGCACATAACATTCCCTGCTGCGTTTCCTGATAGTCACAGTGCAGTAGTAATCCTGAATGGCCAAGACCACAAACTTTTCCAACTACTTTTTCTACTTCATCCTCTATAGAAAAAACAGGGGAGATACTTGTATTATTTATGCAAGTAGAAATATACACGTAACTGTGGATGCCTTGCAGTTAGTTAAGAATTGTACCTATTTATACTTTTTTTTTTAGCTCTATGCTTCCTGGAGGTGTTCAAAAGACGGGTTGACATGGTCCTCAGGAATATGGTTTAGTGATTTTTTTATTGCTTATTTCTTATTTATTTTTTTGTCAGAGTTAGGTTGATGGTTGGACTGGATGATCTTTAAGGTCCCTTCCAACCTAGACGATTCTATGATTCTACGATTGTTGAAACCCTGTTGAAGAAATCAAGTTAAAAGTCAAGAGAATGCAATCTACCTCGACCAGCACTTGTATTAATGATACAGGCAATCCATTGCTAGAAGCCATCTTCAGTCCTCATCCCTATGTAAAGGACATTCATGTTAGACCCAGAAAAGAAGAAATGCTGGTCATGGTAAAAAAGAGGCTGAAATGCAGGCTGCATGTCAGTTTCAAAAGGGACAACTGAGATACATATTCACCTAGGAAGATGGATGAGGAATAAAATACCTAGACAAGAAAAGGTGAGTACAGGAAAAGCCTCTCAAAGCTGCTGTTGTGGCTCACTCCATAGATGCCCAGCAAACATCATAGGAGTGAAGGAGTGTCCTCCAGGAAGCTATACCCGCTCTTGTTCTGCACCCATCAGACCCTACTCATGATCCAGGTCTGCACAGAAGGTTTTGTCAGTGTCTGTCCAACAAATGCTGTGTTTTACACAAGCTTTGCTCTGTCATTGTTGGCAGTCAATCACAGATCCTGGAAAGGATTCTCCAGCAGAAGCTAAACTCAGCTGGTCCTGCGAGATGTGACACAAAGAGGAAACGAGGTGCTGTAACCACACGGAGTCAAAAGAAGTGACAGATTGCAACTATAGCTCATCCTGAGCTGTACCAGAACACTTAAGTAGGAACTTATCCAAGAATCCATACCCTTGCCTACACTGCAGTGAACTCACATATAATATTAAATGTATTTGCTTCTGCAGCAGTTAGCCAAATGCCCTCTGCACTGAGCTCTTCCCCTCTCCCCCCGGGCTATTTTCCACCTCAGTCACCACAGGGCAGAGATCTCTGTGATAGTACCTGTTTCCGAAGGCAGTCAGGTGTCACACTGCCCGCAGGCTGCAGCATAGCTAGGTCACAGAAACTTTCCTAGACAGGCAGCACCAACAAATGGCATTTGAGTACCTCAGTGTCTTTCAGTTCGATGAGGTGTAGCTTCTGGCATTATCCTTTACACCAGGCTGTCTGCCCAAAAGCAGCTTTAATTAATAGATAATACCATTTAAAATGTCTACTCTTTCCTTCCAGCAAGCTCAGCAGTTGCTAATAAATTCACGTTTCATGGCACTCCTTGCTATTCACTGATCTATCCTACTCTATCACGTCTATCCAAAATTTTGTTGCACAACTCTCTGGTCCAGGTTCTTCACTCTGCTGTGCCACTTTTACAGCAGGAAGTATTTTTGATCATTAGTTTCATTTCATACAACCAAGTTTCTTGAAGCCAACTGAATTTCTTGAATAAATGATTTTAAGTCTAGTGCCTACAATTGAGCAATAATTCTCCATCCATTTTTACCAATAAGCCACATTAAAAAAACCCAAACAAAAACCCCCAACAAACCAAAAATCCAAATATGAATGGGAGAGAACAAGAAAGAAAGAGAGAACAAAATAAACTTCTCTAGTTTAGCACAAGCTGATAATACATGCCCGCAAAACATCCTCTAAAACCTTGGGGGTATCAGGATTATAGATGTAGCAGGAGAAACGGGAGGGCCCCATTCATACAAAACTGAATTTCCTGGTGAACACTGTTCTTTGTCATGTTGGCGCAGCCAAAAAGTCAGTAACAAAAGTTCAACAGTGAAAGGAAGAAAACTAAACCAGAAGATAATCTGGCCAGTATGCGAATTTGAAAGCAAAAGGTGTATCTGGAGATGGAAGAGAACAAAAGGGGAACAGCAGCTCAGTATGGAAAGAAAACAGAGAAGGTCAGACAGCAGCTGGGAAGGTCTGGAAAATAGGTGCATTGGCTGGTAATGGTACTGGTGCTTCTTAATTAGTTAATGCAACAGCGACTGGTTAAACTGTGTTCACAGTTAGCAGCCACTTTTCCTTTACAATTTACTGTTTGAAATGCTGCTAAATCAGGCCGCAGCAGACTCTCAAAACAAAGTCTGTAGTAGGAGTCTTCATTACTTTAAAAGAGCCAGCTACAAATAAGAAAACAAGTAAAGCTGTGCAGCCACAGGCAGGCAGGACGGAATGTTAGCGTCTGTTTCAGTTTGTCACTCAGAGGTTAAGGTTCATAGAAAAACGTAGGAAGAACTTGATATGGCCACTACCTTTTAACTAAGAGAAAACAATGCATTTACAAACACAAATGAATCATTATCCAAACAATGTTTAAAACTTGGCTCAGAAAAAAAAACCAAGATCAAAAAGGCAGCACTTAAAAAAAAAACCCCTGTTACAGATTTAAATAGCCTCACTTAAACAGAGGGGCTTCTAAAAGTAATTACCTGGCAAAGCAGAAAACTTTCCAAACATCACATTCAGTCGGAATTTTAAAATGTAGGCAGGTTTAAAGGATTTATAACCCCTATTGCCTCCATGCTGGGTATTTACACTCATGGATCCATTGATTATTTTTTTTATTTTTTTTTTAAACTGGAACAAATCGTTACAGTCAGTAATTCCTGCACTGGGAATAATCATTCCATTCACCTGTGATACAAACGGTTTGAACACTGCAGTACCAGTGCTGTGACCCAGGCAGGCGGCAAGTTAAACCAGGACACTGGGGATATTTTGGTTAAAAGGGCCGGTTTTTCCGTGTAAAAGTTAAAGGCGGTCGCACCTCCACCCGTCCCCGTGCGGCAGCGCTCGTTCGGAACGAGCAAAAGGAAGGTTTTCCCCTCAGAAAGAGAAGATTCCCAGTCCCCAGAAGTTTCCCCGAGGCCCCAGCTCCTCTCTGCCCGCCCCGCCGCCCCCGGCGGGCCCTACCTCGGCGGGGTCGATGTCGAAAACCTCGGCGATCTTGGCGTAGAGCTCCCGGGCGCTGCCGAAGCCCCCGACCCGGCCCGTGGGGCTGCCGTGCGCCAGCTGCGTGTGGAACTGCAGCCGCGACGCGCTCGCCGCCGGGGCCGCCACCGCCACCGCCGCCGGGGGGGCCTGGACTGCCGCCTCGCTCTCCACCAGCTTAGAGGTCTCCTTGGACCTGTCCTTCTTCTTGCCCCTCAGACCCAGCGGCATCTTCAGCGCCTGTAACGGGCTCCCCCTCACCGCCGGCTCCCCGCGATGGACTCTGCCCCCGGCGCCGCCCCGGCCCGGCCATGCCGCCGCCAGGTGAGGCCCGGGCCCGCCCCGCCCCCGGACCCGGCCAGCCCCGGGCCGCTGCCCCGCAGCCGGCGAGAGGCGGCGGAAGGCTCCGGCCGGCCCTGCCCCGCTCTGTCCGTCCCCCGGCAGCCCGGGGACAGCGGGGGACAGCCCTGCCCCTGCCACACAGGGGGGTCGCGGGCCGATGAACGCCGCCACCCCCTCCCCAGAAGCCACAAAAGCCTAAGGGAGAGGAACAGGGCCTTGGGAGAGGAGCTGTTCATACAGAGACATAACCCTTCCTGGCCGTGATACTGGTTTGTGGGGTTTTTTCCCCAAACGGGGCACTGGGAACTAGACTGCAGCAGGAATACCAAGTTCACCCAGGACTGGCATCAATGCAAAGACATGTCTTCCACTTTTTTCTAATTATCTATTATATAAAGCATATACTGTAAAGTGTATTTATATACCTTGAAAGTTTTTCCCTAAAATTGTTCACAAAGTTTATCACTATTCCAGAAATTTCCACTAAATATTGATCAGAATAGGGTTTATATCCAGGATATAAAAGAAAACATGAAGCACACGAGGAGTTCAGTGAACTCTTGGTTATTCACCACAGTTGTACATAGTCTACATCCTCTGAGGATCAATAAAGGGATAGCCACATTAGCAAAGTTGAAGAGGCTTTCTACTGAACTGGACAACATCTTTGAAATACTGAGACTTAACATATAGGTATTTGAAAAATGTATTTTCTAACATTTAGTACATTTAAACTGCTTCCTTCTCCACCCTGGAATAGAGAAATGTATTCTATAGAATGTTAGATGTTCACACCTTACAGAAGACATCTTCCGTGCTCAATACATTCACCCCAGTGGAATTGCTCTGCTTTCAGTGATGAACTGAATCCACTCAAGGTGTGAAGAGTGGGAATTTCAGGAGGCAGTATCCAGCACTTCTAAAGGAATCTGTTATCAAGCTGCAGAGAGGCAGCATTGCCTTACCACATCTTCTAACTCTCAGAATAAAAAAGACAAATCACTGGGGAGAAAAACAAAAAAAACCCCAAAGAGGATTCTGGAGTCATGGAGTCAGCACAGGGAGGCACAGAGATGGTGAATTATGAGAAGGCAGAGAATAATAATGAGAGAATGCCTACAGCATCTTGGAAAAATACATACAACTTTTAAACCGTTTGTGCTGTGGGGAAAAAAAAAAAGTTTGAAGGCAGTTGGATTTCAGTCTTTCCAGAGAGCATGTGGTAGATTTAACCGAATACTCAGAACTGCCTAACTTTTATCCAATTCTAACCTAAGACAAGATTGTTATTAATTTTCTTCTTGTCTCCACCAATAAAAAAATAAACCAACACAGAATAATCCTACCATCGCACTGTAATAGTTGACTTTCCAGTCATTTGAAACCAGAAACATTAAATTTAAGATTTCTCTGAACTTGGAGAACTGTGTGTACTTTTCCTGTGTGTACTGGCATGCAATTCAGACGGCATGTTGGCATAAACTGGATGAGATTGCAGTGAGATTAAATTAGATCGATTATATAATAGTACCAAACTGTTCATGTTCATTCTGATATTTAGGGGTTTTTTGCTGTTTTGCAATTTTAAATGAGCCGTTTTGTTTAATACATGCCTTTTCCCATTTACTAAAATGTATTACAAAGGACTTGGTAACACTGACAAGTGTTTATGTCTTGTCTCTACCAAACTTGATGTCTACCAACTCATCCCTTATCTTCTGAAAAGACAATTGAAACAATGTTAAAGAACAGTTTACGGTCACTATTGATATAAGAACTTAGTTAATGTAAATGCAAACAGTCAAGTTTCCATATAGTGACATACAGAAGTTATGCAGATTTATTGTAAACACTTTTCAACATTGACATAGCCCTAATATAGGTATCTGTTGCAAAACCTTCTTCAGTGAAAGTGTTTATGTTTCTATGTTTCGTATGGAAACAGATGGAAAAAAACAGCTGAAGTTGTAACCACAACAATGCTGCCCCTCCTCACAGCATGGAGGGACAACATCAGCTTTTAACCACAGAAATTAAAAATGATGAGACCAACTGACCTGACCAAATAAACTGAAGATCATATCGTGATCACACCATACTGTTTAACACAAACAGTATGGAGCAGGGATGTGCTATCATTATTTACACCATGTAACGGGTGAAATTAAGCCTTTTGGTTGTTGTAAATCAGAGGAAGGTAACATTGCACATTTGCCACATTATCCTTGGAAGCCAAACCTAGAAGAGCATCTACATGAAATTGTCATTAGCAGCCCCCAGCTCTAGCAAGTGTCCAACACTCAGCTTCACCTGTCCATTACGGCTAAATATACTTATTTTGATAAACTGCACATGCTATTTACTAATATTGCGTTGATCATGTTGGCAGGTTCAACCATTTAGAGTTAACCAACATAATGCAGTGTTGACCGAGTGATGTGTGGAGCTAGAAATGAGCCAGACTGTGGAGAACCTCAAAGAATAAAAGACAAAGTGGACAGAAGACACTTTCTGCAACTCCAACCAGTCCTGCTCTCAGGCCTCCTTGAACATGTACCCACTAGGAAAATATTTGCCAACATTAGTTAACACACTTCAAAAATAGATCCAAATAAGCCTCCAGCAATTCAGGATAGTTAGGATCCAAAAATAATTTACATTTCCCTTTCAGTAAGTGACATTGTTGGAGAGTCAGAGAGTTAACCATCTAAATAAAAATGTTAATAATCCATCATTAGCCTTGGTTTTAGACAGAAAACTAAACCATGTGCTAAAAAACAAAAGGAAAAATGGGTTTCAGTCCTTTTATCCTATATGAGTAGATTGCACACTGCAGTTTTCCACATCCTTCAGTTTCTCAGCCATAGTACTTTGGATGTGTGAATCGTGCTCTGCAACAGCCCGAAGTTTGTGGAGAAAGTATGTGGAATAGAGCAGTCACGTTACTGGATGTGAAATGCCACAGTGCTACGCTGCAACTATCAGCAGGCAAAATTGTTTCACTACACATTATATATGCATATATATATGCGACTTGGGCAGTTCTTACCTGCAGCATGTATCTTTCTGGTCATCCACGTTGCAAATGAACCAGCTGCTTAAAAGAATTGCTGGTATGAGCAGAGAACAAAGAGCTTCTTACCTTGTTTAGTCTAATCAAAATAAGGCTGAGAGGAAACATAGTTGTGTTTATAATTATCTATGATAGCATTATACTAGATATAAACTACCTAAACAAAAGAATGTTGATACAAATAAAACTTACATTTCCTACTCATACATTTTGTTAAGAGCTATTTTAAACCATCAGAGGATACTGCAAACCAAAGCCTTTTAGTAAGATTATATCTCCTCCTCCATTTTAAGACAGCAGTTCGAATAGGGCTGCCTGGGACAGGAGAGGACCAAACTCCATTACCACAACTTACTGATCTTCTGAGTGTTTGTCCATCTTACATTAAGTATTAATAATTTGGCTTTGGCACATAGAAACCATCAACTAGTAAAGCCATTCTCTGAAGCCCATACAGCAGCAATAAACGCACTTTGCGCATTGACTTCAATTTCGGAATTGTGACTCCATAGGGAGCAGAAGAGGATCCCAGGGATTTCTATCCTGTTTCCTATTACTTTTAAAATCAGTTCTTTGGCATATAAGGAAAATAAAAATATGTGGTTTTCCTGGACTGCTCTCAGAAGTGGCTCTAGGTCCTTATTACACTTGGTTACAGCTTTTCTGGCAAGGGCTGCTTCTTACTGAATCCAGCTTATCAATCTTTTTTTTGTTGTTTTTGACATAAAATACAAGCAGTAGAGACACTTTTTTTGAGCGTGCCAGAAAGTACTTATTGAGGGAAATGCTACATGGTCTTTCAGGAGCTGGCTGGGTGGAGATTTTGTTGTGGTGTTTTGTGGTTGTTTTTTTTAAATTACACAGGGCAGCAGGAGTGTGCAGATGATAATTTGTCTTTTATAAAGCAATCAGGCGTGACTAATAAGACTGTTGTAGAGCTCCTCCCTTGGGTAAACCAGTAATTCCAGGGGAACAAAACAAGCACAGGATGGTTATACCTCCTCTCCTCGACCCAAGGGAATCAACAGCAGACCTCTACTTTGGCTCTTTAAATAATAGGACAATTAATTGGAGGAGTCTGAAGGAAACTAATCGTGCCACCCAATAGTCCACTGCTGAGCAATCTGACAAATGAAGAGCTGAGGTTCTGTATTTCCATGAGGAGATTCACACTGCCATTTGCCCATTTTGCATGCCAAACAGTAAGTGAATATATGAATACCCTGGTTCTACAGGATTTGTTCAAGAATGCAACACAGTAACAACTATTGATGTCATCTGTAAAGGAGGACTGGCATGTACTGACTGGAAAAGGAAAATTGCCTCTTAATGGTATTTACAGTAGCATGTCCGTGCCTGTACTTTCTAGGTCTAACATATGAATTCATGTGCAGAGAATTTCACCTGAATCACAGCAAACTTCACTGGTGGGGCAAAACCTATTCTACCCCAAATGTTACCAGTGAGTCAGGCTAGCACATCAGATGAGCATGCTGAGGAGGAATGGAGTGCATTGAAGAATTTTACTGACTTCAATTCAGGAGCTGTCAGTTGTCTGGTCACCTCCAGACCTCCTTAGAAGCTTCATCAAATATATAAACTAAATAAAGAGAACCAGGAGAACCTGTCAGCACATAAGCTGCCATAACCTCTACAACTCGGAGCTCTGTAGGTGGATTCCTATGGGAATGATACTGTTGAAGTCAGGGGAATCGACTTCGGATCTGGCAGGGAATGCTTTTCAAACACAAACATACCTCTAGTCTTCTCCACGATCATCTGAGCTTAGTCCCTCTCCCCTCCATTGCGCATTCCACTCTTTCTGCCATCTAATACTAGAGATACCATTTGGTCACGCACATCATTCTGCCTGTCTCTGAAGGACATGCT